TGGATCATCTGGACATGTCAAAAAAAAAAAAAGAACTCAAATATCTGCCACAGAACAGAACATAATATTTGACATTTTTTATGCATATTGGCCATAAAGGAAATTATGGCCTATAGACAACTTATTCAAATACACCTTTTCGGCCCAAGTTTTGATCTTTTCCAACTAATTAGACCCCAAGGGTTAAAAAAACCCACAAGAAATCAGATCAAAATCTGAAAGTTTTCAAACTAGACATATGCAGTCTCGGAAATCGATGTAACCCGGTTTTTGGACTCGGTGCTTCTCTAGCTCTCCCCCAATGTGCATAAAAGTGAATTCTGAGCACTTTTTTTTGCGGAAAAGTGCCAAAAAATCCGGTTTTTCATGGACAAAACTGAAACGCTCAGTGCTTCCAAAGTAAGGCAGATATGGAATCGCAGTTTGTGGTATTGTAAAGCTAAGATTTCAAACTAGTTGCTGTGTAAATTTCATCTTCCTATCTCAACTGGTTTGGCCGTGGTGTAGCTGCAAAATTTGAATTTTGAAAAAAGGCAAAATTGGTCAATTTCATCAGGTAGCTACCTGTGGGTCCAAAATACATTTTTGGGTCGAATTTTTTGGGTCTTGGAAATCTTGCAAAAACTTCATAATTAAAACACAATTCCGTTGTCTTACAGTGACAAGACATTTGACACTATATAGCTTAAAACAGACGCATAAAATTCTGGCCGCATGGTTAGTCTACATTAAAATGAAAACATAGTGACTATAGTATGTCAGGAGCAATACATATCTCTGAACAAATTTAAAAAAAACAAATTCAACGTACCCACAAATGTAATAAGACAACAGTGTCTCTTTAAATTCGATTAAATTTCTGTACAGCGAGGTTTATTACATAGTTGAACATTGTTCTTGACAACTAACAATCATTAAAACCAGGTCAATTTTAGCGAGAGAATAACGTACCAACATTACAATCTCTTCAACATGTACGAAACATATTACATACGTATTTATTCTTAAAGAGGTGTGGTGTAAACTATGATGAAGATATTTAAGAATTATGCAAATAAACAATCTATATAATATTCATACTCTGTTATAGGTCAACATAGGGTACTTTTGTTTTATAACCTGTCAGATGAAGGATGTAAAAGGAAAGCCTACAGTTGTTTAACAAGTCTAGACATTTATCGGCATATCGTTGAGACCAATCATCGTCATCAATTTGGTTGATGGGAGGGGTGGCGCAAATTGCATATCCAAATCATACTTCGGTTGAAAAGCTCAGTCGGTACTGAGTTTGACTGTAAGGTGATAAAGTGCCTTGGGTTTAAATCCCTCTCAATGTAAGAAACACTATTGTCATAAGTCACGGATAGTGCTTTCGAAAATTGTCTTGGTCTCATATTCAACTTCTATCACATATGTTAGGTGGTCCACAAAAAGACACCTCGGATCGAAAGTATGCCACGATATAGTAAAAATAAGAAAGTTACCTAGTGTCATTAGATGAAACTTCGTATTGAGCTGATTTTTTGCAATTTTCTTGCAATATTATCTAAGAAATCACTTCGAAATTGGCAAACATATTTGCAAATATTAATACGGAAGAAGAGCAAAATTGTCAGAATTAGTATCTTATGACGTGTTTTTCAACGTCCAAATGAAATGTAAGTTTTAATTTTCTGCACCCATAATATTTGACTCCGATCAAAGGCCACCACAATCGGCCTAAAATGTCAATCGTTTTGTGAAAGTTTTGGCGTTTCAACTTCGATATCAATACAAACAAAAACTATGTTTACTTTGTTTACCATTTTACGTTCTTATGACACGAGTACTTTTTACTGCAGCATGGTAAATAGCCTCTGTTGTTAAGTTCGGGTATATTTTAATTGGCTTACCTTAAATTTGTAAAACTGTTTTTATGACGTTCGATTATAAGATATCTTACAAAACTAAAATACTATCAAAACTACATTCGGCATTCAATATCTACGTCACGTTTACATGAAATGAAAAAGAAATATAATGAATATGAGTTGTTTCTCATAACATAGTACAAAGTGCGAAAAGGGAGCATTTTGAATAAACTAGATTTTTCTATTACCAACTATCTAGGGATATTATACATTCAATGAATACTGTTCTATAGACGACCTTTCAATGTCAGCCCTAAAATCTTAAACCCAGGACACCGGTTCGCAAAAGTGCGAA